GGGCTCCCCTCCGGGGGCCCAGCTGCCCCCTCAGGGGGGCTGCATCCGCCTCTGGGGGAAGCTTAATGATTAAAATATCCAACACCCTATGGGTGGCTATAAAGAAGAAAATATTAATTAAATAATGTTAAAGTAAATATTTTACTATTAGGAATTATAACTCTAGTAATGACGTTATCACTAGTTTCTCTTTATTTATCAATAATTTTTTCTACAGAACGATTTGCTTTTTTAATACTTCTATTATGGTGTTTTATTTTCAGAAATATCGGGAGGGTTATTCTAACTAACTATTTTATCTAAAAATAATGATATATTATTATTATTTATTCCTGCTTTTTTTCAGGCCTTTGGCCTGAGGCAAATAATTCAGATACTTCGAAGGATATTCCTGAAGAATCCTTAGAATAAAATATTTCTAAGGATCAACCTGAAGAATCTTTGAAGCCAGCTATTATTTACTCTGCGGATACTGATAGATTAGAAATTTTAACAGATACCAAGGGGAAAACTGGAATTTATCAATGGGAGCATAAAGAATCAGGAAAAACTTATATTGGAAGTTCATTTGATTTATCTAAATAATTGAAAGACTATTACAAGATATTTTTTATATCTAACAAAAGTAGAGGGAATAATTATATTTATAATGCGATTTTATTACATGGTTATTCTAATTTTAATATATATATATTCTTGAGTATATTGATATCTCAAATTTCTCAAAAAAAGAAGATGCATATAAATTAATTCTTAAACGAGAGCAATATTATTTAAATAGTCTGAAGCCTGAGCGCCTGAGGCGCTCGATTGCCTGAGGCATAAGCGCCCTGGGGACTGAATATAATATACTTAAGATAGCTGGTTCCTTACTAGGTTTTAACCATACACCTGAAACTAAAGCAAAATTAAATAAAGCTATGTCAGATGAAAACCATTTCAATTTTGAGAATCCTCTACTCAAAAAACTAAAGCTTTAATGAGTATTGCTCAAACAGGAGAGAAGAGTTTTGTTAGTAAAAGAGTTTTGTTAGTAAAAGAGTATTCATATATTCTAATTTTACTCCAACTATTCTTTCTCATAAGTTTGTGTCTTGTTCAGAAGCAGCAAAATATTTTTCTTGTAGTGTTATGACTATCTCTAGATATCTCAAAAATAGGGGATTATTTCAAGAACAGTGGATCTTATCCTTATCAAAGAAATAAGAAACTCTAATAGTAAAGTCACCAAGATACTATTAAGTCTCGGTGGGACGGTTACATCACCCACCCCCAGCCAGACAATTATAACTTGTTTAGAAAGTAATTTTTGCTAAACACCCCTCTTAAAATTAACTAAATCAATTAACACCCTTCTCCGTTAGTCTGCCCTGGCGGGCCGACTGGGCAGTTTATTATTTTTATAAATAATAAACATTTTATAAAAAAGACGGGGCGTAGCCCAGTCTACCTAAAATTAAAATATAATAAAAACTATAAGAGTGACCTCCTATTAATAAGACATCAGACAATGTATGATAAATTTCTTTTTCAACGGGCCATTATGATGTATTATATAAAATAATAAAAAATTATATTTTTTATGGGCTAATTGAATTATACAATAACTATAATTGTTCAAATCTATCTTTTAGTTATTACTCAAGAAATAAAAATATAATAAGGAAATAAGAAACTAGTTTAATTGATAAGCTTTTAGCTTCAAACTAATTAACCGAAAGTTCAATTCTTTCTTATCAATAATATTAGAATTTTATGTCCAGTTCTTATTAAAAATCTTCAAGAGCCCCGATAGCTTAGTGGTAAAGTAGAGGTTTGAAAAACCTTTTACGGTTGTTCGATTCATCCTCGGAGCAAATATTTTTGAGTTAATTTTATGTAAAGTTTTGAAATCTATTATTCTAACGGATTATTGTGTAAACAGTATTATTTAAAGTTAATATATTATAATTGTAATTGTACTTATTATTATAATTGTAATTGTACTTATTATTATATAGATAATGGCCATAGTCACTTAATTTTAAAATTATCCTGGATCTCTAGTTTACTAAATAATTATAAAGCTTTGTTAAAAAAAAAAAACAATGCAGCCCCCCGGCCCGGGGGGCAGCTCCGGATAGCGCCTCTGTTACTAAAATTAGTGAAGCTTTGATCGGAAGAAGTCATTTACCTCAAAGTTTAGCTTCCCCCCCTCCGGGGGGGATGCAGTCCCCCCCAAGGGGGGGCAGCTAAAATGAGTGAAGTCAAAACAGGGGATAATCATCCAAATTTTGGTAAATTTATTTCTGAAGAAACTAAAGTTAAGATTTCTAAAGCTTTAAATAAAAAAATATTTGTGTATTCTTTTGATTCTATATCTAATAAGATAATACTACATAAATCTTTTGATAGTAATTTAGATAGGTCAAAATACTTTAATTGTACCAAACGAACATTATTTAATTACGTGGGTAAAAACAAGTTATTTAAAAATCAATGGATTTTATTAACAACAGAGTATTCATGTTAGATATTTTTTGGGATATAAAAATATTTAATTATTATCTATATAAGGTTTAATATTATTTAGTCAATAATAGAAACGCTTAATAATTTTAATTTTTTACTTATTATTTATGTTGAGGAATTAACATAAATACGTTATTTTATTTAGGGTTATAACCTTAAATAATTTAACACCCTCCACTGAGACCGTCGGTTCTATCTGAGGCAGAGCTTAATGTTAAATATTAGTTTAACTAATAATAATGTTCAAGATCGGTCCCTATTGAACAAAAAAATTAATAATAAGCACTTGTAACTTAATTGGAAAAGTATAGGTCTTCTAAACCTAACAATAATGGTTCAAATCCATTCATGTGCTTTATCCAATTAAGCCTCCCCCTCTGGGGGATGCAGCCCCCCGACAGGGGGGGCTGCTTTTGTTAATTTCCCATTGGAGATGGGTGAGTAAGAAGGAAACAAGCTACCACCCGTGTAATAATTTACCTCATTAATTTTCATAAACAAGTCCATAGAAATCAAGATGACTCTTTTTCTATTTTTTTTTCAAAAAAAAAATATTTTTTTTATTTATATAAAAAAAGCAAATAAAGACGAATATGATTGAAACTATTTAGGTGGCACAACTAAAATACCCACCCCCAACACTTAAATAGGTAAGGTTTAATTCCTCTAATTCGTATGTTTGTGTAATTTAGACTAATAAGTCAATGTAAGAGAGCGTTGTTTAAAGAAAATTTAATTTATTCAAACAGTCCGAGACTAGACGACTAATATATCTTTTCTTCTGTTAGAAAAGCTTTTAAAAAAATTTTTTTATTTGGTTATTATCATTAAATAATAATAAGGTCAGATTAATTTAACTGGTAAAATACATGATTTGTAATCATCGAAATGTTTGTTCAACTCAGACATCTGGCAATAAATATCATGGAAGACAAAACTGTCGTCCGTCCTAGCTTCGCCCACGGAAATATTAATTATTAAAATATAATTTGTTTTAAAAGTAATTAATGAAACTAGGCCCCGCGAGGGCTTTGTTTTACCCCAGGGGTGAAACTAGGATAAGGTATTTTATATGGACATAATTAGGATTAAAGAGGAAATACATTATATCAATGGGTAGTAAACATCCTATAAGCTTAAGACTTAAAACAAGACAAAATTGGAGTAATACATCTTATCATTTTAACTCTACTAATTCATTATATAATTATTGGGGTATAGATAAAATAGCTTTAAATATTATTAAACATTATTTTCAATTTTCTTTAATTTCAAAACCTAAATTTAATAAAGATTCTAATAAAGTTATTATTAGTTTTTATTATTTTTTAAATTTACCTGTATCAAAACGCTTAAATTTTGGACAATTAAAAAAAATTCAATCATCTTCGGGCCGAGGGCCCGAGGATTCAAGAAATTTTGAAGCCAAAAAATATTCTAATTTAATATTAAAATTATCGAAATTATATGGTAAATCTGTAGAGTTAAGACCTGTAAGAATCCATTATCCTTATTTAAATTCTTACATTTTAGCACAATATTTAGCACTTAACATAAAAGCAGGAAATTTTAATAAATTATTAAGAAATTTATTTAAAAAAGTAAAATTAGTTAAAAATAATAATTCTACTTCTACTACATTCGGTGATTTAATAAAATATTCTTCTGTTTTTAATGAGCCTCAATATTTAACGGGTTTAAAAATCCAAATCAGTGGAAGATTATCTCAACGTAAGGCTGCTAGTCGTACGAGAATAATCAAAAAATCTATTGGTACTTTAAAATTAGGCTCTTTCTCTACAATTGATGCTAACAAGTTTAATTTTACAGGGAAAAATGGAAGTATTACAGTTAAAGTTTGGCTTTCTTCAAGTTTTGCAAATTCGTTAGTTAATAATAGTACTATTACTAAATTAATTAACACCCCCCCCTTGTTCAGAATTCTAAGAATTTAAAAATAAGTAATTCTGTTACATAAGAAATTCGATATTATTCTACTAATATTAATAATAATAACTATATTAACAACAATAAAACTTTTGTACCGGTAATTGTATATAATAATACTGATACTGATAAATTACAAATTTTAACAGATAATAGACAAAAAACTGGGTATATCTCTGGACTCATTTAGAATCAAATAATAAATATATAAGTTCAACTCCCCGCTGGGAGACTGCCTGCGGGCGAGCGTCCTTGGGAGTTTTAAATATTTATATTTAAAACATTTAAATAAAAGCTGCCCCGGCAGGGGCTGCGTTGTTTTTATTTAAAAACAAAGCTTCCCCCCCCCGGAGGGGGAATGCAGCCCCCCAAGAGGGGGGGCTGCTGTTGATTTATTTATAACAGGTTTCTATTAATAATTCATTTATTATAATAATTAAAATGAACATTCTCTAACACTGTACTCTAATAATTAAAATTTAAAATTATTAAACATCTCTTGTACAAAATTTTAATTCTTTAAATAAAAAAATTTAAAAATTTTAAATAAATATTTTTTAAAAAACTTAAATGAATTTAAATTACAATTACCAAGTTTTAAAAACTTATACTTTTTTTATTAAGTTTTAAATGTTTAATTAAAATTATATTATTATATATAATGAAACACTAATAATTATGAGTTTAAAAATAAAAATACCCTTCCGTTGGGAGTCTTAGATTATTATAAGCCAGATTCAGTATAATTTAATTAAATATAGAATATTTCATATTTATAAAATAATTCTTTTTTTTTTCAAGGAATGAACCATTAAGAAATAAATTATTTTTTTTATAAATATTTTTTATTGAGTTATATTTATTAATTCAGAGGATCCATCTTACTCTTAAAGAGCTAAACTATAATAGGTCTTATATTAACATTCTTATACTTGTTAAGGTTTATCTATCCTCTTATATATTTAAATAATTATATACTCAAAAAGGGTAAAAATTAATTACTTATAAAATACATTAGAGATAAATTCTAGATAAAGAAATAAGTTACATAAATTTTGTTTATTTCGTATAATAATGTATTAATCCTTTTATTTAAAATTTTTAAGGAACTACCCTCGAAAAAAAAAAGAGCTCGAGCCGTCAAAGGTGAATCTCTGCAGGTTTAATATTAAATTTAAATAAAATTTAGTTAAAGATTTGATTTCTTTAAAAGTACCTCTATTTTTTAATGATTACTTAAAATACTATATTTTTCTAAATTAAAAAAGTATAAAGATATAAATAGATAAAAACTTAATAATAACTTTATTCTAAATTAACAATATATTGTTAATTGTAAATTAATTTAGTTTGTATTCTGGACTTTCCTTTAATAAACCTAAGACTTAAATTTTTAACTAAAAGATTGGAATCAAACCTTTCACTTTCAAAAATAACGTATAAATATCTATTTATTATTGCATATCAATACTATTATTATAAATAAATATTTACTTCTTAGAAATAAATAATATCCACTCGTTTTTAAATAACTTTCTGTTTTTTGAATATTTTAAGATAGTATGATATGAAACATTAAAGTGTTCGCCAGCTTTAACAGCTGCCCCCTTAGGGGGGCTGCATCCCCCCCCTCGGGGGGGGAAAAGCTGAGGGAAAATTATTAATATATGTTAATCCCTCACTACGAAAAATAAAAATTGTAATACCTTTACTGATACTAATTATTCTTACTTTTATGAGTTTTACCATACATTAGATTATTTTGCCCAGACAAGATAAGACTCATTAAAGTTTTAGTTTTTTCACTATGTGTTAAACCAAACATTGAATGATTTTTCCCTAACTTTGCTAAACTCATTTTCACCTTTATTTCAATAGAAAATCTTTTATCTGACATTTTTGCTCTTGATTTTTCTGTATTAAAATACCCTAGCGAAGAACCCGTTATTTTAGTATATTATATTCAGTCTCCGGGGGGGTCTGCGCCCCAGGGGATCGAGCGCCCCAGGCGCTCAGATAAAAGAGAATCAATATAAAATTGCTCTTTTTCAAGTAATAGTTTTTTAGCCTTTATTTTTGAAAGATTTTGAACATCTATTTATTCAAAATAGTTAGACTACCCCCGGAGAGGGTGGTGCCCACGGAGCGGAGACTAAATAAAGAGTAACCGTGATTAAGTAAAGCTTTACTTATATACATTAACTTAGAACGATCTAAATATTTTTCATTTAAATAATTTTTTAATTGTTTGGATAAATTAATTATACTTTCTATGTATCTTTTACCTGATTCCTTATGAGTCCATCCATAGATGACGGTTTTTCTTTATTCCCAGATAAAATTTTTAATTTCTCACTATCCACATTAGAATAAATCATTATAGGGACAAAGAATGTTA